ACTTTACATTTGTTTTTTTTATTTTTCTTTGTTTCTCGGCTGAATTCGCAAATGGCATATCGAGATGACCGTGTTCGTAAATCCTAAGTGTTTAAATGTCTCTCTCTCTCTCTCTCTCTCTCTCTCTCTCAAACTCTCTCAATCTCTCTCACACTCACGAAACGTCACGTTCTCTCTCTTTCTCTCTCACACATCCGTGGGTATCATAGAGACTCGCAAATAATCTCGCTTTCTTTTTCGCAATCGAAGAATCATCTTTTCTGTTTTCTCTACGCACGCGTTCCTCTCGTTTACCGCTCTCTTACTCACGCATCTCTTACTAGTGCATCGAAAAAATTGGGCGATTCGTAAACTCCGCCGTTTTAACTAACGCTCTGTACATATGCGGACGCACGGTATAATAACTGCATACATGCGCGCGTGTGTTTCTGTGTGTTTGTGTGTATATATATATATATGTATATACTTTGTCTTCCTTTTAATGCATCTCGTTTCGCGTAATTTGCATATGGTTCTTTCTGATGTAGCGTAACCGAGTGTGTATATTTGCTACTGCACGCGTAAATACACGTGCGTGTGCATGCGTGTCATTGTGATTCGTTTAAAAAGCCGCCGACGCGTGTGAAAGCGTACATTATACGGTGTCTAGAGAACGTATCCGTTCGTGTATAGGCGTGTACACATGTTTAGGTGTTTTACGAGTGTTTATAGTGGTTGCGTGCGTGTGTGTGTGTGTGTGTGAAGTGCGTGTCGGTGAACGTTGCCTGTGTTTTCCCTTGCTGGCTCCTCTATAGGGTCATGCATATACGCCATTATGGTAAATCAATGATACAATAATTCGCGTACGGGTAATATGTATGTCTGTACCGAGGTTAATGCAAGTAATCGATTGGACAGCTATACAATAGCCGATTAAATTCAACGGTCATCGTTTCGGCATTGGACGAGGCCAGCAGACTTTCGACGATACAACAAACGCTCGGGGCTCAGCGTTACTCTTACGATCGTCATATCTTCCGACCCTGTATAACATCTAACGCGTCTCCTCTTTATTCCTTTTGCCCGCGATCGCTATCTCTCTGTTCTTCCCTTATCGATACCGTATCATCTTTAAAACCAGGTCGCGCACATTCTCTCCTCCCTTCCTCTCTTCCTATTGCTTCCTCTATTCTCTTCCTCTTCGTCTATCTACGCCGCTCTAACTTACATAGAAACCTCGCGAGTTCGAATCCGTCGATCTCACCCCCCCGCGTTTTTCCTTCCTTCTCTTTCTTTCCCTCCTTCCTTCCTTCTGCTCGTTTTCATCCCTCGCACGATAAGCAGCGCAAACAGTCATCCATGTAACACGCGTGTCAACGTCTGTATGTACCTAACCTCCCACTCGTTTTCCTCCTTCTGTGCTTTATTCGTCCTCTTTTCTCCCTCGTTGCACACCCGGGAAAAGGGGAAAAGTGCTTCGACGACGCCGGGGCGAGAGAGAAGTGCCATTCCGGCATTCAGTCGGCAAAGAGCGCGCTGGGAAGTGGCGGACACGGGCGCGCGCGCAAGAAACAAAGAAAAAGGGCGAAGCCCACTCTTGGCCCTGCCTAGGCGCCCTAGTCGCCTCCACTCCTGAATCTCTCACCCTTACCTGACTGCCCTTCACACATCCGTGTCGGGGTTCTCCTCTGACCGTGTGTCGTCTTTCGTCGTCGTGTCCGAGAATCGGCGCGTCGAAGAATTCGTTTTAACCGTATGTATTTCGCATTTCGCTTAATCGTGTATTTTATTCCCCCTTTTTGTTTCTCGTTTCTCCGCTTCTACGCACGCCTGGGCAAAAGAAAGAAAGAAAAAAAAAAAGGAAAGAAAGAAACTCGAAAGGCCAACACAGAGAGAGAGACGTTTCTTTCTTTTGTTGTTGTTGTCTTCTCTCTTCCCGGGTGCGAACGTTTCGTTATTTACGCGTGTAATA